ATTGGGTGTCGCCGAGTTCTACACTAAAACTAGACGGTCAGGAATTAGTTGAAGTTGACTGCGAAGATGTGGGCTAGGAGATCTCCCAACGCGTGATCAAAACTAGATTAGCGTTTACTAATCTGCGGCATCTCTGACGCTGGCGCGACATAACCCTTTCATTATAAGGTCGTGTGTATTGTTCAACAGTACGCACCGTGTTGCTCTATGGCTGCGAGACCTGGTCTATCCGAGCAGGTCACGTTCAGCGACTATCAGTCTTCGACAATCATTGTCTGCGCAACATTGCCCGTGTATGGTGGGAGCATCGCGTGAATAACGAAGAAATCAGACGACAGGTGCTAGGATCAGATAGTCTTACTTTAAGCAAAATAATTTCACAGCATCGTCTTAGGTGGCTAGGACACGTCCTACGAATGCATGAGCAACGTCAGGTATACCTTTGCATTATTCGCAGACATTGGTCCAGGCTGGAAGAAACAGCGAGGCCGGCAGGCTACAACGTGGCGCAGAGGGTTGAAGAGATTGTGCTCAAATCTGGCTTCCGTTGGGGTTTCACGGCTCCCCGGTCGGGGCCCGAAAGATTCAGAACGTCTCTGGCTGAAGACACTGCTGGATATGGCAACGAACCGAAGTCAGTGGCGCGAATGCATCCTCTCCTGTTTGCAATCTCAAAAATAAACAAACACAAACAAAAAACTCAAAATGACGTGCAGCAAACAAACAAAAAATTGTTACTCCCCGAAGTTGACAAACACCTTTGTGCTAGCGTTCATTCAGTCCTGCTTTGTGGTTGTGAGACCTTGAACTTGCTAGTAAAATACTTCCATTGAATAGGGGTTTTCGATTATCGGTATTTACGCAGTTTAGCCCATGTGGGATGGAGGTAAGCTGTCGTGTGTTTGGGAGTCTATCAGGTATAAGTCTGCTAGCGCACCGAGTAGTGTAGTAGACTTCGCTGGCTAGGCCACGTATTGCGTATGCCCAGCCATCGTCTGCCTCACCGCGCTTTATTCACTGTGGCCGCTCCGAAATGGGGAAAACCATGTGGAGTTCAACAGATAATGTGGAGACGAGGTATGAAGAAATGCACAGGGCCATCAGGTAGAGTAAGTGTCTTGCTCCTTCCAGGTTGAGGTACAAAAGACTCCACAACCGGTTGGTTGGAGACATTGAAGGATATGGCAACGAGCCGACAGCAGTGGCGTTCTTGTTGTCATTTCTTATCAGGTCAGAACGCTTGAAATGATATGTATGCAGAGTTCGATTGTGCACTGTGTTGACCATAGTGGTTCACCTCTCTCTCCCTCCCTCAAAGTAGATCCCATCCCTGTCCAACTTGAATTTTACCACCAACCTTGTATGCAATACGAGTTTGGTAGCGATCAGCGAAGTTCGCCTCCATGTGTTTCGCTGTACGCTGATGATTACATTACGAATTGGGGTTGGTGGGCTCCAATTCGTCCACCACTCGGTCCTACTTTGAGGATCGTACTTTACGGCGTAGAAATACTGACTAGCCAATTGTAAGTTTAATTCATAATGTAGACGTTCGATTTTTTCAGTAAGAATTTGTTCGCTACGTTTCTGGATGTGCATTATAAGGAGATAACCAAATGAAGGGCGACCGGAGTCTTCCACTCCCACCAGCTTATTAGATTTGAATGAAAAATTTATCCTCTTCAAAATGTTGTCTTTTAGGCTCTGCGTGTTGACCATAGAGATTCACTTCCTTTTCCCGTCCCCCAAAGTAAATCCAATCCCTATCCTCCTTACACATTCTCACTTACTTTGTATGCAATATGTGTTTGGCGGCGATCAGTGAAATTCGCTTCACTGTATTACGCTGTCCAATTGTGAATGATCACACCACGTGAAGGTGCATATCAGTGTTTATCAGCATACGGATGGCTCGCAGCTATCCGAAGGGGAAAGTACATGTACCTGGACTCTGGCACAGTGTAGCATTGTAGACTTGGATAACCCACCAAAATCTTAAGCAGAAATGATAGGCGCTATCACCTAGTTTATTTTTGACACCGCGCGTTTGGTTTTGGAATTGGATCTAGAAAACGATGGGTTGAAAACCGTTCGAGTAAGGCGGTAGGAAGTATTGGGCACTCTGTTCGTGTAAACCATATCTGAAAATTGTATGGTCTGGTTATTGGAACACCGGCCTCCACAGGACTGCGGTTTTCCCGAATAGCCGCGCCCCCTTGTTGGTCAGGCTTCGGGTAACCGAAAAATTCCGAATGAGTCGCCAAGGATCTTCACCCGACCGTACTCTGCTCATGCTCACAGTATAAATGGATTTCTGTCATAAGTATTGTCGTACCATGATTTGTTAGACAGTTCGAAGTCAGATAGGTGTGAAATAATTTTTTTCTATTACACACATTCTGTGTGATGAACAGCAAATGAGTAAACACTATGGTCTCGAGGACCCCCTGTTCAGTGATGGAAACCGGTAACATAAACCGCGGGACTTCGAGTGGTGAACCACATAAGGCCCCAATAGGTTAGGCATGCTATTGAACCGAACGACAGTAAAGCTTCCTACCACCAAAGTTGGGTGGTGGTGGTGGCAGGGTTCGAACCTCGGATTATAGGGTCCAAAGCACGCCAGCGAAAATGACTAAACCACCGCATGTTGTTATCTAAGCGATCAGCTGCTTTGGTTTTGATAGGTCGGTCATATCGACCTTTGCCACAGTACTATCATTTATTTTATGACTTGGCTTCCTTGAAACTAGCCACAGTCTAACAGTACCATTGCTGTTCGTGTCCTTTTATTGGTGACCGCAAGCTAAGACTTGGTTATAGTTATTCCCTAGCGTAGCTATCTCTGTATCCACACCCCGGGGATGTGCCTAATGACATGCACTTGTTTATCCTCCTGAATGCTTCCGTACCAAAAGTACAAGTTAAATACGCCTAGGTAAGTAGTAACCATGGCTTGTGTAGCGTCCAATTTACGGCCAAGTCACACGTGCGAAGAACAGAATTTAAATTAAACAGCTGGTGAAAATTGCGAAATTCACGCAATTAGGTATGGTTAGCAGTCGATTTTTCTAAATAGCCGTGTTTGCTCTAGTGGAGAACCAGGTGTACTACGTTACTGAGGTGCCTGAGTAATTCTTGAATAATTTGACAGTCCATAGGAGAGTAATTCTAAGAGTGAATATGCAGATTTTGTGTGGCCAAAAACAGTTGGACTAATTTCAGGATCTGCAGCTCCATGGTTGCTGGTAGCCGAAACGATTTATATACCATTCCGACTTCAGCCTGGGTAATCCAGCAGTATCATGCCATGGAGCAATTCATGGACCTTCTTTGTTATAAATATTGTTGTAACGTGATTTGTTTGGCACAATCTGAACTCAGACGTGTGTGAAAGTTTTTTAAAGTTTATGTACCTTTCCGAATTAGTTTAGTGCAGGTCCTCATACTCGTAAATAAAAATTGTCTTAAGTGTTAGCCGTACACGGAAGAGACTCATGAACGAATGTGAGCCACAACCTATGAGCAACGGTAATCTTGATGACGGTATTTGTGAATCCATACGTACGGATAATTAAGTGATCGGCGGTGGACCATTCCAATAAAATTCGAATTGCGACCGACAGTGCATCAACGACTTGGTTTTTATAGAGTCGTACGATCGACGAATAGTACATTTAGAAGGTCCTTTCTTGCTAATTGTTTTGCTTCAAATTGTTCTCATTGGAATTATCTACATGTATATTACTCTTTGCTATTCCAGGTCTGCGTTGGTTTCCTGTCAACTCACCAGAAGAAGCTTTCCGTCTAATAACTGTTGGCAAACAATGTCAGAAGGTTGCTGCAACGCGGCTTAATCAATCCAGCTCGCGTTCTCATAGCATTTTGACCATCAAGGCTGTTCGGGTTGTGGATAAAGAGAATCCGCGGTTTGCACGCATCAGCAGTTTAACTTTTTGCGATCTGGCCGGTAGTGAAAGAACCGAGAAGGCAGCAACTGGTGGTCAAGCTTTGAGAATGCGCGAGGCTGCTAACATCAATACCAGTTTACTTACACTGGGACGGTACGTTTATGATTTCGATTTGTTTCCCATACTATAAAAATATATGTTTATATATAAAGACGTTCAAGTGACGTTAGTTGCGGTTAGCAGCATCTAGTCACCTACAAAACATCGAACCATAGTATTGATTGATTAATGGACTGGTTCTGAAAGAGCTGTCAAAACCAATTTATCCGGTGTTGCAAATGAAGTTGTTGTGACGAAAATATTCTTCCTAGGCGTAAGTATATGAATACATTGACAGAAGATTATCGGTTGTACATGCCTGACGAGCGGAAAGAACCTCAAAACCGGTCATGCACTTCCAGAAAAAATTTGTCGAGTCATTCGTATACTACTTTTAAAATATATACATTCATAATCTACCTCTGTGCTTTCTTTACACGTGATGGGCAAGGAGGATGCATTGTGACTGTCAGACCATGACTTGGTATAGGGGTTGAGGAAGTCAGCACTGATTTCTGTTGATGCAACTCACTTTCCAGGTTGGGGCTCACTGAATGAAGATTATGGGTGGCTAGAGACACTGGGAGGTATGGCTTAGAATAGAAGTTACTGGCGCGACTGTTATACTGTTTATTTGTTGAAACCCCTGTATCCCATTAAAAGGCAGAATACATTAAAGTGTCAAATCGCAGAATAAACCCATAGTCATAAGCAAAACACAGGTTGTAAGCGAACATGTTTTCGTTGAGTTCCTTATCAAGCCAGTACAATCACATTTATGTGAGAAAATAACGGGAAAGTGTTGTGTTGAGGTCGAACAGTCGAGGTCAGATAATCATAGCAAAGGGGTGGGGTGGGGACACATCAAAATGTGTTCAGTGAAACGAAAACGTTGTTCTTCTTGCAATCTGTTTCTCTCCATTTTCTTTTCTCTAAATCCATGATTATTATCGTTATTATTATCGTTATTGTTATTATTATTATTATTATTATCGTGATATTATCGTTGATGGTGCGTCGGATCTAGGCTTCTTCTCAAAAGGGTGTGAGATATAAATGTTTACACCGTCACCAAATTATCACTTTGCATAGTATCTTGAAAGGATTTTCAAAACTACAATTATTTTCAGGAATTACGATTATTTTACTTCATTGTGTTTCATTGGAGTCTTTAGCCAATTTCGACATCGTTACGCTTTATACTCACATACCTACTCAAATATCCTTCTGTATTATGGAAAACCTCTAGCATAGACTGTGAGCTCAAAAGTGGAACATTACAATTTCTGAAAGTATAAAAACGGCATAATTATGTAGCATTTTCACATACTTTGCTAATGGACCGGGATGTGGCTGTGAATTCCCCTAGAAAATTCACTTGCTTTGGTCGGGACCGACTAGCAGTATTCCTGTTATGAGCAAATCACGGATCTATCTCTTTGTTATACTGTGGTTTGTTTGACGCATAGTCTAGGCTCAGATGCGTACAAAATATGATAGTATAAACAAACTGAAGATGTAGATGTAGAATCTACAGGTTCTTCTGTATTATATATTTTTTGGAAGAAATAATGACGGAATCAGATATGATTCGATCAAATACATGATGACGATATGTAGATGACTCATTCGTTAGCACTGAACGTGATAGTTCGTTAAATTACTCAGCTGTCTGCTTGGAGCTATGAAGTTTGCAACTGAAATGAGCCTAAAAATCACCTTCCTTGACTGAAAAGCCAACAAATTCATATGCACTGTTATTTAGCAAAAAAGTTGCGTGAAAACGCGCAAAGCACCACAAGGTATTTAATGTGCGTAGGTTGTAAGAGTTGTCTGGTCTCGCCTAAATTCCTTTGACTGAATAAATGCACAGGTATGTTATTAGGTGTGGTAGATGCATCTCATCCTCCAGATTGGAATCCAAAGGACTCCGTAACTGGTCGATTGTAGGCAGCAGGGGCGTCCATGTTGTCATTTTCTTATCCGGCCAGAATACTTGGAGACGGCATGAACAGTTAGATTGTGTTGTCTGTTTATTGACCACAACGGCTCACTTTCTTTGCTTCTCTCCAAGTAGGCCTGTTCACCTGCTTGTCCACCTTACACATTCTCAGTAACTTTGTATACATTGCGAGTTTGGTACCGGTCAGAGAAGTTCGTTTCACCGTGTTTTAGGCTATACGATGATGATGATGATTCTCAGTTCATTACACTGAGGTATGTG